ACAGCACCTGGAAATCCAAACTGGACCCAAACAACTCAGTTTCCTGTGTCAGGGGATGATCAGTTTGCCATGGATGATCTCACAAGGAGGGAAGATGACAATTTGGCTTGCTCACTAAAAACCAAGACAACTGGCCTTAACTAGAAGGCATAACTCAATCAGCCTGCTTCCACTGCCTTCTGTGGGCAGAATTTGAGTTTCGCAGCATGTCTATCACTTCCTGAGGAACTTCTCCCTTCCAGATGCTTACCCTGTTTTATGAAAAAATCAACAACAGCAACAAAATCCACAGCAGAGTAAAATCCTACCATAAATAACCTGGTCATTAGAGTGTACAAGCACAGTTCTTCTGTCAGTCAAATTGTGGGATTTATTACGACACGAATTACATCTTCAGGCAACTCTTCAACTCCTTTTCTATTTGTTTTCTACATGCCATTAAAAGAAAATTCTGACTTTTTATGTATATAGATACATAGAAAAGCTACCACATTACCATGCAAACTTACAAGCTGCACTGATGAATGCTTTTGTCCAAAGTAACTGAGAAGTAGCTTATAATTTAGAATTGGGTGACTTTAAATTGTCTCCTCTTGGATGAAGTGTATTTCACTTCACATCACTGTAACTTATTCATATTGCCATGACCTTACTGCCTCTCCAGAGCTCCCAGAAGAGCCCATAGTAACAGCTGACAAGCAGAACAACTACCAAGGAAATGGAGGCTTTTACAGAGCAAAGAAACATTTGTAAATGGCTGCACCTCACTAATCTTAACTGGTGCCAAACACACACAACTCATTTTCTGAGTAGATATATGCATTTTTACACACATATATGCCACTTCTCATATGGCACAAACAGGAGTCTTTCCATTCACAATGTCCACAGAGACCCAGCAGCAGGCATATTTTACAAATTGATGACATGGGCATCCAAGAGTCCTCATCACCATCTGACACTCACACAGCAGCTCTCCCATCTCTATAATGGAATGTGGCATCTCCATTTCCCTAACCTCATATTAGTGTTCATGCACCTGCATGGTGACAGCCATTCCAAGGTCAATGTGATGAGCATGGAACTGATTGGATTGAGAGCCTTTGCCAACTGCATAACCATTAAACCCAGCTTGAAACAGAAGATGAGACTAAGCAGCTAGAGAAAGGAGGAACTGTTCCTTTCAGCAGCAGCAGAGTAACATGACAACATCACAACTACACACTTATATTACAGGCTCTTAAATTCTCTGTTAGGAATGCCTAGAAACCTTGCTTTACTTTTCAGCAGGGCATAGTTACTCCATATTTTGACAACAGACAGCAACCTAAAGTCTCAGACTGTGCCATCTTAGAGGAGCAGAACATAAAGGTTCACGAGAAAGTCCATTTGAGATGCACCAACCAGACATATGAATGCTGCAGTCCCACAAGGCCCCTACACTCAGGGAACAGCAGCACGTATGCTGGAATGCACACAATTCCAAGTGCAACACAAAGCATGATGTTCTAGCAGCTTTACTAAAAGCACAGGACAACTTGACAACAGTAATAAATTGCCTGACAGAATATGAAACATGTACCAAGTGCCCTGTTCCACACAAAAGAGCTCAACCCTGTATCACAACTCAAACAGGAATGCCTTCAGATCAGAAAAACTGAGAAGAAACTCTCTTCTCACCACTGAAACTGTACTGATGCATGGAATGGAACATAAAAGTCTTGCTCCAATGTCAGTTTACAAAGCAGCTTATATAGAAAAGAGCTGCTGGGAAAAACCAAAAACCACCCCAGGAAACAGACCAGAACTGAGGACACACCTCATCCCAAAGGAATGCCTTTGCCGTAGTGCTTCAGACATAGCAGGGAGAATGACTAACCTGGCACTGGGGAGCAAAGTCACATCCTTTTCTATACACAGTGTCAGGTTCAGCCAGAGGATCAGAGTGAGCTTAGCACATCTTCAGGTTTGGTATCCTTTGAGAGACATCCGCTACAGGCTTGAAACCAGGCTTCCCAGGTGACAGGCCAAGTATTCTATTCTCCAGGTCAACAGCTCTTAAGGCACTATTCAGAAATCACTCATTCTCTGCAACAGGCCTGTGAAAACACACTGCCTTTTTGGTCATCACTCTGCTCAAAACCCCCAAGGAGATGTAGAAGCATTAAGGTCTGCACTGGGGTGCAACTCAACAATTTGGGATCACTGGTCTGGGCCACAAATGTGAAGGTAGATACAACCACAGGCACTACCTTTATCTCTACAAAGAACACAGCTCAAGTAGGACACACCTAGTCTGTCACAGTGAGGACCAAACATGCAGGTGAACTCAAAGGCCTTTGGTAAGAGGAAGATTCCCTTGTGGATAAAAAGATTATGCAAAAGTCCCAAGACACTGTGTTCATGCAGAACAGCTCTCCAGTCAGTTATACAGAAAGTTTCAAGATGGATACAAACACGAGGAAAGTATTTAAGGTTCCTGCCCAGTATTTGTGGAGCAGAAAGCTGAAGCCATGACCGCCTACACCCCAAAGCTACACCTTTGCTTCTGGTCCATTCACCCTGGCTAGAGTCTCATTTCAGCTCAGGCAATCTAACCTAAAACCTCGAGCCACGCTCAAGAAAGCAGACTAGCACTTAGAGCCTGTCTCTCACACAATGCTTTGAACAGATTTTAAAGTGTCTGTCCATGAATCTTTAGGATGTCAGTGCTTTGCACAAGTGGGTAACTGTAAAGAAATAAAGATTCTCCTTATCCTAATAATTCCCCTGATTAAACCCAGCATGCTTCATGAGTTCATTAGGAGGCTCCTCTTACTCTCCTGGACTATATAACTGCTTCATTACAAACTCGTACAAACAAATCTGAACTTTGTAGTCATCCAGACAGTATATCCCTAGGCAACAGGCAAATAAATTCCAAGTAGCAGTCACCATAAAGCACATAGAGTAGACAGACAGATACATAGTCCACTCTAATACATGAATCACTGTACAGGAATGAGAATGCTTGTCTTGTTTTTTACCATCCACAAGATTTCTAGTAAGATATATGTTAAGCTTTGTATGACTTCTTCTACAGCAAAAAAAGCTTACAAGCACACAAGTTATCAAGTAGATATTATCCATAAAATACTTGAAATCTTTGCCTAAATGAATGCAACTTCCCTTTGGTGTCAATAGAAGTTGCTAGGAATGAAAACAGAGCATCCAAGATATCAGCAGAATGTGCTCCAATGAATGTACTGATACTTAAACCAAACATTTATCTCTGCTTGCACAGAAATGCTACTAATGCTTTTAAAAGTATCAAAGCATGTATGAACAGCCATCTCTATCCAGTGCCTGTAGATGCTATTCAAATTGAGCTTAGCCTGTACAGGATGAGGTAGCCTAATTTGCACCAAAAAATTACTAAAGTGTAGCAAGAGAGACACTTTGGGGTCAATTTTCACAGCAGCATGATGACCCAAAACTATTAATAAGTTTGTACAGTACACAAAGAAATTGTAGATCCATGTTACGTAACACAAGTGTAAGGAACTTCTAAGGTAGAGAGAAAGGAAGCAAAGCACTTAGTCAAAAAGAGAAACAAGGACAACGGAGGAGAAAAAGTCTCTTGTGGAGACTGCTAAATATAACAATATACAGACAATAACATCAAGAAGTTTTTAATGGATTTTCTGAGATTCACTACAGTTCCCAGGCATGAAAAACAGCCTATATCATACCTCAAGGCCCTAAAAAACTTTTTGTATGCCTAACAGAGGTAAAAGTGTATTTTTGAGCACCACAAAACTAACCTAAAATCTCATACAAGGGCAAAATTTAGCATTATTCATAGACAAGAATTTTGCCTGGAGAACCACATAAAATTAGACATTAAACCAGAACTTGTGGCCCTTTCTATACTTTAAAAAAGTCTAGTACATTTTGCTGAAGTTTGAGAGAGAGAATACAGAATGCCAAGTACAAAAACTGATGTAAAAGTTTGTCACTTTCTTGAAACAGTTTTCTGTTCTGCCTCCTTCATCTTTACAGAAAGAAGCAAGTGCAATCAACCGAAATTTCACAGGACCTGGTGTTTTTAGCATGACATGGTTTAAATAAAGTGTATTTGAAGTCTCATACAACATATTCTGTAAAGTTTGCAGCATATTTTTCAACTATCAAAACTGATTTAGTCTCCTTGTTATAAACGTAGTGTTAGAATGATGTAATAAAAAGCTAGTATTCAGTACCCATAGCTATAATGCATGTGTCATAAGACCTTGGACCCACACATGGAGTTTAAACTCACAATTAAATAATAAAATTGTGTAATATGCTGCAAAAATTATCCTCTAAGCTATTCAGATAAAGTCTAATTACAGTTTATCAAACTAACCTTTACCTCTGGGACAGCATGAAACAGATGTGTAACTCAGACAGTTATACCATCTTCAGATGTCTCATTCACATCCCAAATGAATACAAGCTTACTCATGGCTTTGCAGACCCTAATTTTACGTGCTTTCACATAACTTGAAGGGAAGTTCTTCCCAAAGGTTTGACTCTTTCTAATAATAACTCGTCTTTGGAAGAGGGTCCGCAAAGATCCCAAATTACCCTATTTCAACGGGAATGCCAGAGAGCTCTGTTGAAGCAGAGGGCAGGAACGCACCCAGGCGGGCAGTAAGGCGGTGCTGTGCCGGGCCCTGGCACACCCACGGGGACGCCGCACCATGCCGGATAGTGTTTCCCTGGAGCGGCCGGCAGCGCCCAGGTGAGCGGGAAGCCGGAGCGCTCAGCCCGGCCCGGCGGCAGCGGGGCGGGGTGCCCGGGGCACTGCGAGCGCTGCGGCCCCGGCCCCGCTCCCGGCGGGCAGAGGCGGCTCCGCGGAGCCGCGCAGCGAGTGCGGTACGCCCGAGGGCGGCGCGGACCACGGCCGAGCACGGAGCGTCCCCAGCCCCATCCCGGGGCCGCCCCGGCGCTCCCCGCGGCGAGGGCCGCCTCCTTACCGGCACAGCTCGGCGAAGGCCTGGAAATTCAGTTTCCTGATCTTCTTCTCGCTCAGCCAGTATCCCACCCGCTTCCCCTTCAGGAAGGTCTGCATGGTGCCGCCCCGCGAGCAGGCGACCAGTCCGGGGCGGCGGGGCAGCGCGGCTGCCGCTCGCACTCGGCGCCTGCCAAACGACGGCTGGAAGAGAAGCGGAGAAAGGAGGATCAGCCGGTTCCCCGCGGCGGCCGCTGCTCCCCGCCCGCCCAGCTGAACCGCCGAGCCGCGCCGCGCCAGGGGCAGCCCCCGGCAGGCGGGCAGCCCCGACAGGCCCTTCCCCGCACCGGCGGGCAGCTCGCCGAGGCACAGAGAAGCCGCTCCCCGCACCAGCTCCGGAGCGCCCAGCCGAGCAGGCACGCCGCCGCTGCCGCCCGCCCCGCGGCACGCCCGCAGTGCCCGTCCGCACGGACCCCGCCGCCGAGTTCGCCTCCGTGCCCGCCGCCGCCGCCGCTGCTGCTGCTGCTGCTGCTGCCGCTGCTGCTGCGCGGCCGCGGTGCTGCTGCAGCCGCTCAGCTCCCCATTTGCCCGCTATTCACAGCCGCCTCCACTTCCTCCTCCTCCGGGCCGTCCCCTCCGCTCCGCTCCCACCCACCTCGCGGGGCGGCACCGGGACGCTCCCGCCCCGCCGCAGCACCGCGGGCCGCGCCCGCCCCCCGGACTCCGCTCCGCCGCCGCCAGGGGGCGCGCGCGCCGCCGCCTTAAAGAGACAGCGCCCCTTTCTGGGCCTGGCCGGCCGGGGCCCGGGGGCGTGGCCGCGGATGCCCCAGAGATTTTGGTTTCCTAGGGAGGAACATTGTACACAGTACTTGCACTTCCTATGGGTGCTCCTGAAAGTACTTGGTCACTACATCTTTCACAGAAAAAATGTTCCAAGTAAACGTGAGTCTTCAGTGCAGAGCCTTCTTCCAGAATTTGCAAGTATCTGCAGGGATTAAACAGAGTTTGCAATAATGGCTATCTGATATTTAACTTTCTTTTGCAAGAGGCAGAAGGCAGGCAATGCAAGCATGGACTGGCATTCTAATTTTTGGGTTACGGATCCTTAAATACTCATATGAGGCAGCTGTTCTGTGCTTCATTTTAGAGGAAGAATCTTTCAGTCTGAATTACTATGCTGTCTCATAGCAAAGTATCATTTCCCCGTTTTTGTTTTTCCCCTTCATCTGAAACGATCACAATTTCAGTCTGAACATTTTTCTCTGTCTCTCCAGGAATGGAAAGCACGGCCTTTACAATAACGATGTCCTTCAGAGAGGGGTTGGATTGCAGTACCTGCAATCCTGAGCTGAGGTGCAGATGATGCTTCTGTGATGACGCTTTCTGTGAAACCAGCCCTGGAGCCCTGTGCAGTGGGAACTGCTCAGCGAGTTCTGCTGACTCACAGTGCCACAACAAATGCGGTTTTATAACTCCAGCAGAGTACTGGAAAATAAAAAAAGTACTGGTGGAAGTATCCATGCAAAGGAAAGGGTGAAAGCCCTAAGAAATATGAAAGGGATAATTGATTTAGGGAGTTGGTAGAAAGCATTTTACATTCCTGTCATTACTCACATGAACAGTGCAGTGATCTTGACCCAAGGGTATATTGGAAAATAGGCAAGGAATGGAACCACCTGCAAAGACCTCATACCAATGGTTTTTTAAAATTTGTATCATATTTTTTCTCCATTTGTGGTTGCTTTGAGGAATAAATAGCTTTCTTTTTCTCCTTCATCTTATTTGCCACTGCTTTGTTCTAATCTTTATTTTACCGAACACTTTTTATCTTAATCATATTCACACATTTTTTCAGTTTATTAATTAATGAAATTAGAATTAGTAAATGTGTTTTGATAGCATGATTCCTGTTGCAGAATGTTTCACTGGTATTTAAACATTTTATGGGAGTATGATAATTTTGGAAAAAAATTGTAACTCAAAAATACAAGACTTTATCAAACATTATCATATTAATATAAGAATCCTGAAACAAATTGACTTGGGTTTCTTGTTATGAAGTGTTTTGCCTTGCCAATATCAGTGCTTTATTTCAGCTATCATTTCACTGGGCTTATTTTAGACTTTATAAAAATTTGCATCAGTATATTAAGCTCAAAATTTATATTTGTATCAGAATGGAATATGAATATATTGAAATATTTCAGTCAACTTCCAAAATTATTTATTTCTGAATGTTTTTTTCTTTAAGAAATATCATGGCTTCAGACCAATCTAAAACACAGTCTGCAGGGACAGAAATATTTATGTACTTTTTTCCAGATGCAGGAGAGCAGGTTTTTAGAGGTGTTGTGCATTCCTAACTCCTGTGGAAATGAAGCACATGCACTAAAAAGGAGGAATTTGCTTTGTTCCAATACAGACAAACTTGTATGACATATATCAAAGACCAGGTTCAATCTTAGGAAGGAGAAAGCTGGGAAATGCCTTCATTTTAAGCTATACTTTTTGAATCTTAACCCTTGAACAACTGCAGATGTGGGAAGTATTTTACCTGATGTGCCTCTGCATCTTGCTGTACAATTTTGCTAAATAAATTATAATCCTGTGTTTACATTGCAGAGCTTGTTCAGGCAATGCCAAACCTGTGACCACAGGAAGCCCCAGGGTAATATTTATGCAATTCCTGATCAGGAGCAAGCTGACTATTCCTGTGACTTTCTGTGGCCCAACTCTGTAAGCTGCAGCTCATGAGCTGCTTCATCCTAATTAAAGAGGTTGATTAGAATCTTGAGCCCTCCAGCAATCAGAACTATCTTCCTCTTCATCTTAGCTTCAGCTACAGGCCAAAGCAGGTTTCCCTTGTTTAGCTGGAACCTCTCACACCTTGTCTTCTAACCCTTTCAACAAATACAGGAGCTCTGACAAAGCTGGATACTTGCAATGTGGCACAAGTTAGGGAAATTCCATGGAAATTCAATTTAGGATAATATGAGACATCCCCACTTAATTAGTTATCAAAGTATATTTTTGCAGTATTTTTTTAATTATTTCTCAGCACCTGGCAGAAGTCACAATAGGATCTTTTGCAATGAGCAGAAAGAAGGTGGTGAAGTGATTTACATTGCCTGCAGTTTAGGGTTTTTACTTTCATTTGCATTTTTAATTATTACAAGACAGTTGTTACTCTGCTGTGGATGGACAGGAGGGTGGGCTGAGCCTTCTGTATCAGAACAGGTCTCCCCTTTCTCCATTCAGCCAAACCACCAAGTCAGACCCTGTGCTAACACAGCACTGCTGCAGTGAGGTTGTAGGTAGGAGGGAACACAAGGAACACTCTGCATGTGCTGCACTGCAGCTTCTGGGCCCTGAGAGAGACTCAAAGAGTAGTCCAGGTGCCACACAGCATGTGGAACTTGTCATCACCAGTGAGGCAGCCAGAGACAAATGTATGAGAAGCATGGTGGGCTGCCATTTCCTCAGCTCTCTGCTACCTCTACAACTGCTTAATCATTGCAAGATTAATCAAAAGGACACATAAGACTTCTTTCACAGTGGTTCACTAGAGGATGTGTGTGACAGAAGCTGAGTTTCTACAATTTATGTTTGCTTTTTGCCTAATTTCTGGCAGAACACATACCTGCAGCTATTGCCTGGAAACTTTTCTGACTGTGCTCTTGGCCAGCAGCTTTTAAATGACAAATCAGTGAAGGTTAGTCCTGGGGGTGAAAGCTCATTTCTGATGTCTGAATTCAAACATAGCACGGCTATCCCTTGCCAAGGGCCACACAACACCTGCCCATTGTGGGGCTCTGGTCATGGCTCCCAGGAGGGACCCCTTTAGCACCTGATGCTGCCCAGCTGCTCTGCTCTGAGGGACTTGGTGCCTATGGAGCCAGCAGAGCTGGAAATCAGGCCTTGCCAGCTGGAAATCAGACAGTTGTTGTACAGACAGCTAAATCAGGTGTTGCTATTCAGAGCCACAGCCCCTCCAGAAGCTGACATTTATTCTCACTTTCTGCCACACCCTCCTTCACGACAGTCCATGTGCTTATGTGGCTGTGCAAGAACGGAATAAGGGAGGCAGGAACTTAGATGGACTTAAACAAACCCAGAAGTTGCCAACAGTATTTAAGCCTTAGCCTAAACCAATTCCTTAGTCTGTATCACCATTCTTTTTCCTACCTGGTTATAGTGGCACAAGGCAGTGAATGGGTTGGAAAAAAGAAGCCAGGAAGAGAAGGCATCAAACTGCCTCTTTTGGTGGCAATCCTACTTCACAGCAGCAGCAGGGATGGGGAAGGAGTGGTTCACCTCTACTCCCCCACTCACCTGACAACCTATGCAGTTTATGCTTCAGTATTCTGATTTTATAAAGAAAAGAAGGATTATTGAGTACTGCCTGTGGCTCTTTGGTATTTCTGTTCTTTTAGAGATCAGAAGAAGAAATTCAGCTAGAAAAGCTTAAAAACCTGACAAAAGAGAATAACAATGCCTGGCAGATGAGCAGCCCATGCAGGGCCATTCAAGGATTCGTGAGCTAGCATCAGCCTCAATGGAGTGCTGCTTAGATGGCCACCTGTCACACTGAGAGCACAGCAAGCTCTTCTGTTCCAACCATGAAAACAGGATAACTAAGGCTTTTTTTGAAAGTGCAAGGAAATCACCTTTATGAGAAGGTACATCTTACTTTATGTAAAAAAGTAAGCTTACTTTAAAGCTCAAAAAGTTTTCTATCCTGAGCTCTGATGAATGTGTATGCTGCAGGAAAGTAAGAAAAGGCCTGGCTGCCAAGTTTGCTTGCTTGTCATGTAACATGCTGGGGACAGACTCTGTATAAGCCCAGGAAAGCATTTCACCAGTGAATAAAGAATTTAAAGCCACCAAAAAAAATCTATGTGACAGAGAGAAAAGATGACAAAGTCCTGTGCCGGTATAATTATGTCAGTTGGAGCAGATTTTTTAAACTGAATAACTTCTGCTAGTCAAAACCCAACTGTGGACACAGACACACAGCTACATTACTGTTGCTGTCTTGCCTTTTACTATGGCAAGCAGCTCTGTGGAAATAATGCTCATGCAAACTTTGTCAATGCAGACATATGGAGAGATATATTTTGGTGGTTGCTTCAGTGTAGTTAAAATGATTCAAACTTTATGTGCAAGGAAATCCTGAAAGATTGTTCTCTGAAGGATTTGG